AAAAAACAAAGAGGAACATATATTAAAGAGAAAAAAGGACTTGTCAGGTGGAGCTGCTGATACTGGCTGCCAGCTCGGAGTGGCGCCGGAAGTAGGGACTCGGGCATAAAGATGATTTCTTTGCAGCTTTTAACAGAGACAGTGTTGGGAAGGTTACTTTTAAAATGTATTCCATTACAGAATACATGCCCAAAATGTATTCTGTAACGTATTCCGTTACGTTACTCAATGAGAGTAACGTATTCTGAATACTTTGGATTACTTAATATATTATCATGCATTTTACAACTACGTGAATGTACTATTGCTGTGTGATTTATTACTATTACTGAAGGTCCGCGGCTCCGAACCGTAGTAAAGGGACCTCTGACTAATACGGGTTCTGTAGGGCTCTTAGCCGAAAAATAGCTTTACTTTGTTGTCTGGGTCAACTCTGCTTGCGAGAGACAGAGAGAGGCGTTGAAAGGCTGCTCCAACGGAACTTATTGTTTCGGAGGAAAACACGAACACAGCGTACTGTCGAGTTTTATTGGCTTACTTACAGCTGGGCTCATCAGGCACTCTTCTTGGCTCAGTGGTTATTATTATATTTACATGCTTCCAGCTCCTGTTTTTGCTCGATGACAACTCGTACTTTCGACTCTCCTTTTTCTCCACCATAACAAGTATGGCAGTCCATTCTCCCTGCAGCACGGACTACACTGCCCATGATGCTACATTCTGCATTCTGCCTATTAGCTTAGCACAACAACAACAACAAAAAGGCGCTCTCTCACCCAGGAAACACGCAGAGCGAGAGCGTCACCCTGTAACCATGGCAACCGCAACACTGCCGCCTGGAACAACAGAACGTAGCTGTCAAACAAAACCCAAACAGTCCTGACCCGCCACAATATGAAACAGGAAAGTACGCCGTGTAATCCATTTATTTCAACAAAGTAACTGTATTCTAAATACCACCTTTTTAAACGGTAACTGTAACGGAATACAGTTACTCATATTTTGTATTTTAAATACGTAACGGCGGTACATGTATTCCGTTACTCCCCAACACTGACAGAGATTATATGTGTTTTTCAGCACCGACTGTCCCCCTATACACTTTTGTACACTGCTGAAATTTTCTGGGGAAAAAAACAACACAATTTTTTTAAAAAGCTAATGCCTTTCAGCAAACGCCCATGTACTGCATTGCACGGTTTTGTTAAATATCCTAAAGTCACTGTACAAAGAAATCAGCTGATTCTGATTCATTTTTCTCAGATCTGATTGGTTAATTCCTCATATCCACACAAATAGTGTCATATACCTACAAGCCTGGTGAAATATGAGGAAGGCCTGAAAAAACAGACCCTGCTCAGGCCTACTGGTTAAACGCTCCTGCTTTTTGTAAGTCGATATTAACCTGCCAGAGGCTCAGTTAATTAATGACAGTGCATTCAATGTGTTGATCCATGTGTGGGATTTTTTTTGTGTGTGTTTTAAATGCTACTGTCTGAATACATGATATATGTGCCCGTGTGCGTCTGTGATCTAATCCTGTGAAAGTGTGTGAGTTTGTGTGATTAAGTGGGCAAAGCTATATTAATCTTGGTATTCGGACATCGGCTGGCAGGTGCAGACACTTTACTGGTGACCCAACCCGTTTAACGCGCGCGCGCGCACACACACACACACACACACACACACAAAAAGACTTGCATGGAACATCACTGACTGCAACACAGTAACGATATAATATGAATCTATTCTTTGATTCTATCATTTCCCTTTATATCTTGGTAACAGCCATGGAACTTGGGGTGGGGGTGAGTGGTTGTGGGTACTTAATAAAAGAAAAAAGGAAGAAAATGGAAAACAAAGTCACTCCTATATGTGCCAGCTGGGTCACACAAAGTGCCTCAAAGAAAACAAACCCATTCATTTTCAGATTTTAAAGTGCTCTTTAACAGGTGTTCTGGGAATCAAAACATCCTACCCAATGTTTCTGCGCAGACGCGGCGCAGGCGCACAACACCAACGCCGAATTAACTTCTTTTTCTCTCACCCATCCGGAATACTTCTTAAGGTTATG